ACGACGACGACCACAACGACTACTACTACTACTACTACTACTACTACTACTACTACTAGTACTACTACTACTACTACTACGACTACTACGACTACTACTGAGTACTGCTACGACGACGACTACTACTACGACGACGACTACTACTACGACGACAACGGCTACTATTACGACGACGACGACGACTACTACTACTCCTGCTACTACTGCTGCTACTACTACTACTACTACCACTACTACTACTGCTACTGCTACTGCTACTGCTGCTGCTACTGCTACTGCTCCTGCTACTACCACCGCCACCAGCGACATTCATAGCTGTTGTTCAGCTCGTCATGTGGTCTTAGCTGCCAACATTCAACATCTTCTTTGTTGCCTTTGTGATGCCACGAAGCAAAGGTCTGGCGAAGCGGCGGAAGTCATCTCTGGACGTATTTTCGATTCGCTGCCGGCTGCTGAGAACAAATATATGGGAGCATCTGAATTTCCCATTTTCAATTTGCTCATAGACAGCGCTTACTGAGATGAGCTGGCTTCGACCGTCCCAAACCCAACAGCCCTAAACCCCAAAACTAAATCCTAAACAACAACTTAAACACCGAAAAACAACGAACACCCTTAACCCCAACACCCTGTCTGTCAGTTTTTGTATGATAAATAATTAAATAAACAAAGACACTAATATATGTATATATATATATATACAATATAATATAATATACTACACTATAGCATACTATAGTACAATATAATATAATATACTATAATATAGTATATTACAGTGTATATATATATGTGTATATATGTATATATATTTATATATATATATATGTATATTCATGCATACATAGATCTAAACAAACATACATAAAAAAACATATATATATATATATAGATATATATATATATATGTACACATATATCCAGTATACATGTACATATGTATATACATCCAACAATATATGGATAGATAGATAGCTAGGTAGATAGACAGATAGATAGAACATACATACATATATATATATATATATATAACCCTTACCGCTGATCCCACTCTGGGGCTTAGAGGCCTCGGCCGGTAAACTCACCGGCCTACGTCTTCGGCTTGGATAATCTCTGGCTGGCCGAAGCCCAAGAACAGGGCTTAGGGGGAATGTAGGGTTTTGGGGTTTAGGGGTTTGGAGTTTTGGGGTTCAGGTTTAAGGTTCGTTTAGGGGTTAACGGTTAGGGTTTGTAGGGTTCGGGTTTTTGGCAATTTGCGGGTTGTAGGGCTTGGGGTGTCTATAGACGCGCTGCGGATCTCAAGCTTGTCGGATCAGAGTGCTCTTGAATCAGAAAAGCTCGAAAGTATCTGCCAAGGTGGAGAAGGCACATGCCATGAACGTGGAGCAGATCTTCTTCTGCTCCAGTCCCAGACCTGTCCACATGTGAGGACATGGGGGTTTCCGAAAATAGGGGACCCTAATATAGTACCCTAAATAGTAGGATCCTTATTATAAGGACCGGTAAATAAGGTACCCCTTATTTTCGGAAACTCCCACGTGAGGGCATGGGAGATAGCCTGAACCCTTAGTTCCTTGAGCCCAAGACCCCAAAGCCTGGCAACCGAACGAGCACAAAACTTAACACCCCTAAGTCCGAAAACCTCATATTATTACATTATGTATAATGTATTCTATATTATATTTTATTATACTATATTATATTAGATTATACTTAATTGAATCTTAACAACCCTCAACCTCAGAATCTCAGGCAGGCGCCAGCCTCCCGTGCTCCTCACGCTTGGCACGAGCCTTGCAGGGGTAGCTCCAGGGCAGAAAGTTTAGGGTTTGGGGGTTTGGGGGTTTGGGTTTAGGGTTTAGGGTTTAGTTTAGAGCCCTTGGGCTCGAAGGCAAGGTCTGGGGTCCAGGGTTGACAAGGCTCAGGCGTCTATTCGGTTTAGGGTTTTAGGGTTTAGGCTGTAGTGTTTAGGGTTTTAGGGTTTAAGGTTTGTGGCCTAGATGGGGTTGCTAAGACTTGGGTTGTGCATGTGGTCATGGGGATAATCTTCAGGCCAACAGATGAGGGGGCCTTGTTGAAAAGATGCCCTGATTGAGAAGAACCCTCGATGCGCCAGCGCCAGTGTCATATCTAATGTATAGCCCGTATGATATTGTATGTACATATCATGTCATGCATTGCATGGTGTATATATTCATATACACCCAATTGTGTATGTATACCGAAATAAATAGCGAAAACAAACATAAAGCAATCGCCCTTCTCTAGAATCCCGCAGAACCCTTAGGATCGCCCGTAGAGAAGATGTCTAATACAGGGGCCTAAATAACTACCTATACTATTTTGGGGGCTTCCTTATAAGTATAGTATAATGGGCCCCCAAAACCCTATTCTAATTATTAAGGCCCCTATATATTACCTA